TCGAAATTTTTTTCCCCCCCCCCCCCCCAGATTTTCAGATTCTGCAACAGGCTTTTTCAGGTCATACCCCATGTCTGTCGACAAGGTTGTTTGACTATTTTGGAACTGACATGAGTGGAAATATCACTACTGTTTGTAAATTAGTCAATCTGTTCATGTTAATGATCTTATGGCCAAACATTGACAATATGTATCGGTCTATACTACTGTATGTACTATTACAATCAAGTACAGAGTCTCCCTTGCAAGAACCCTTGCCAAAGCATTTTGCACCAGCCCAGAATGTTATGAAGCTATTTAATTGATATGCAGGTCTAAATGTGCTTATCTGGGTGTGAACAACATTACAGACTTAAGTACATTGTTTCTCACCCCCTGAGCAATGAGAGTTGTATTTTGCTTTTTTCTTGTCTTTTGACTCGATCCAACCTTAGTGTTTCTACTGTTTTAGTTGGGCCTCGGTTGTTTTCATTGGGAAAATGGCACAAAGACAGAATGTTCTTGCAATTCAGGTTTGTTTTAGAACCCGACGCAAGACAAGCCGAAACAGATAGCATAGAAACCAGTGTGATGTGTTGACAATGATATGGAGTTTGCTGTGTGAAATAGGATGAGTAATGTGCTCTGAGTGGGGATTTATTCTGGTTCTTTCCACATTTGCGATAGTGAACCCATCTGGTATGTGTTCTGTCAAATCGATCTTGTCCCACTTTGAACTCACTTTGATTTTTCAGCAGAGCTCTTTGAGATTGATTTCATCATTGTTCTGTGTGCCAACCACTATGAAATCATGTAAACGTTTGGCAGTTTTAGCAGTTAACTGTGTCATATTGAAGTGCCACTGTTCTGCTCAGGTAATTTATTGACTTTTAGTGCAACCGTTGCAGCCCTTGTCATGTTTTACGATTATTTTTAAACTAGCTGGTGGATTAAGACACTCTTTAAACACTGTAAAACTGCTATTTACACTGAGATGTGTGTTGTAATATCAATGGATTGCAGTGCAGATCTACTTAAAAATGTTAAGTCTTTTGCAGATCTACTTAACAATGTTAGTATGAATGCATGGCATTTGAACCGTTTCTGATGGTGTTTCCTGTACATGGCTCATATCTGTTCAGTGAAAGCACAGCGTTCATGTCATGTGATTGCTTCATTCATCATTCTCGTCCTATTCTTCTCTACAGATATGTTTAAACGGGTTGTACGACAGAGTAAGTTCCGGCATGTGTTCGGCCAGGCGGTGAAGAATGACCAGTGCTATGACGACATCAGGGTGTCCCGGGTCACGTGGGATAGCGCATTCTGCGCTGTCAACTCCAAATTTGTTGCCGTAATTGTGGAAGCCAGTGGAGGAGGAGCGTTCATGGTTTTGCCTCTTCATAAGGTGAGAGATTTGTAAAATTACACTGTGCTTATGTGGAATTCTTGGTATATATCCATTGCATCTTATATTTGCTTGCTTTAAATGGCTAGTCAAATTCTGGTTTGGAAGGATTAAAAAAAATGATGTTGACCAAACTAGGGGAGACAACCCTCTACACACACCTTGGCAATATATTCGCCATCGGATAGTAATTTATATACAGTATCTCACAGAAGTGAGTACACCACTCACATTTTTGTAAATATTTTATTATATCTTTTCATGTGACAACACTGAAGAAATGACACTTTGCTACAATGTAAAGTAGTGAGTGTACAGCTTATATAAGAGTGTAAATTTGCTGTCCCCTCAAAATAACTCAACACACAGCCATTAATGTCTAAACCGCTGGCCACAAAAGTGAGTACACCCCTAAGTGAAAATGTCCAAATTGGGCCCAATTAGCCATTTTCTCTCCCCGGTGTCATGTGACTCATTAGTGTTACAAGGTCTCAGGTGGCAATATAATATATGGTCTGTACAGTAGAAAAGCCTATGGGATGTCCCCACGTTTCACAAAAACAAACCTGTGTGTATGTGTATGTATATATTTGTCAGTCTGGCGAGTAAACAAAAAAATTTACTAGCCAATGGCGATTCAATTGCCAAGGTGTTCGTAGAGGGCTGCGTGTGCACGTGCGCTTCGGGGCGTAACTCCGCTGTGCGTGATACAGAGAGCGCGACCATAAAGTAGAGACCGAAATGACATGCCGTCGTGTGAATAACATAAGAAGGCTATTTAGTTTGTTTAATAAAAGAACAAGGTGTAGACCTGTTCTATCGGAAAGGTAACTTTAAATGACTTCTGTTGAGATCTGGCGCTATAGAGAAAATATAATTTAATAAAATTAACTTGGCCTTCAAGGGGGGCGGGGGGTTATATATATATATAGATAGATAGATACATATAGATATATATATATATAGATATATATATATATAGATATGTAGATATAGATTCCACCAAATCAGCTTATCTTTGTAAAATGGCTCAGCTTCTTAAATCTTAGCTTCTAAGATTTAGAAGCTAAGAATCAGAATCAGTCAATCAAGCATTATATTATGATTTAGAACTTTAGTATTCATATTTAGTGATTAGAACTAAAACTTGTTAACCATGTATGAATGCATATTTGTCATTTTAACTGAACTTAAAAAATTATGCCTGTTATGTTTATTGAAAAAATGTATAATAGTAATTATTAATAGATAATACTACTACTAATTCTACTACTATACTAACAATATACAACGCACTAAGGATTAATGAGCTGCTGGGTTCATGAATATTAATCACATTGTCAGCGTTTGCTCTAACTGATGTGCTGAAAGCAAAACAGGGACAGTAATAGATGAGCACCAGCCAATGAGATTGCCGTTTGCGCATTAGCTCCGCCCACTACCGGAGAAACCACCATATCATCTGCTTGTTCTTAAAAGCTGAAGAATTCTAAATAAACTCCTTTATTTTGACAGGAAAGTGCAACAAAGAATATAATTTACATGTAGCACGTCGATTCAGCGTGGTATGTAAGACTCTCGCTCTCTCTTTTTGCATGTGTGAGAAACAGCGCTATCAGCAAAGCGACGGCGAGTCGTGCACCTTTACATTAGAGTTTACGGTACGTCAAATACAGGTACGCTGCGCATCCATTGAGCTGAACTGAAATAGGACAGATCGCTTGACGGAGAGTGAAATTCTCAAGCGCTCAATGTTCAGCGAGTGAAAATATATCTGTGCTAAACTTGTGATAAGCATCTAACACACACACTGTCGAGTAAGATCTTAGAATTTATTAGCCAATGGCTAATGGTAGACATTATTTAGTCACCCAGAGTGAAGATTTAGTTGCAAATGCGTGTGATTTACTCGCAATGTAGAGGGGTGGGAGAGAAACAGGTGATGGAATGGTTTTTGTTTTAATGTTGTGTCCTTGCTAGACTGGTTGTCAAGCTGTAATTAGGGGAAAAAGGTTAAAAATTTGATAATCAGATTGTGAACAAATCTTTTGAGTTTGTCGTTTTCAGTGAACCATTTGATCTAGAGAATCTAAAATTCTCACTGATTCGTTCACAAATATTTGATTTAGTGACTTGGTTCTTACGAACTCATTTGAGGGAGCTTATCAGCGAATAACGACTTTTTCAGACTCTTTTTCCACACAAAGGTCGACTTAAATGGATATTTTATAGTCCATTTTGAGTCTTCACTAGATCTGGTCACTTTGGAAAAAAGGGGCAAGAAGATTCATAAAAATTTCTTCTTGTTGAATTCCATGGAGTAAAAAACATTATCCAGGTTTTGAACCAGTAAATATTTCCGGTGAACTATTCCTTAAAAGTTTGAGAAGAACATTGCTTTAGCAGAAGAGAAGTCTTAAACCTACAAGAAGCTGAGGAAAGATTATGTCCTAACTGTTGACAAGAAGCCAAGCCATGAAATGGATTTGTGGGCTGTTTCTGCTAAATTGATCTTGGGTGAGGGATCTTCACTGCACCCTCCGCTTAAGTGGTCTCAAACTGCAGCTTTGTCATGCTTTTTTTCCCCCATGTATGAATATATACACACTTAATGACAACCTTGCGTCTCTACAAATGGAGGTGATTATGACAGGTATGATTCATCAGACGTCTGCCTTGATCCGTTTGTGTCAGAGCTGTTAGGAGTGGAGGATACTCTGCTGGAAGTCTTTGAAATGTTGGTGAGCATGCTATGGCCACGTCGTGCTGAAACGTACTTGCTCTACTCACAGATACAGGCTGATTCTATGTAGAGTTGCAGCGAAATTTCGGCAACTGAATATATTAAGCAGAAATAGTGAAAAATAGGTTTTTCCATTTGTATATAACTTCGTTTTTTTTTATTTGAGTGTTACTTATTAGATTTGATTGATCTATTGATTGTTAAATGAAGTCATTTACAGTTTTGGTTTTCAGCAAAATGGAAAATTTTGGTTTCTGTCAAAATTTTGGTGCATCGCTACCAAAATGACAATAATCAACATAGCTGTGACCGTATTGGCATTTCTACCTCTGACTAAGCTGTTGAACTCAAAGTTATTTGTTAGCCAATGATGTAAGGATATCTTCTTTCCTAATGGCTTTCTGAGTTCAGATGTGATGACAAAAGTCGAATTTGTGAGTTGAATCTGCAGCGCACTGTCATTTGATACGTGTGACCCTCTGTCACGGGACTGCCATCTGCTTGTGTTACAAAGGTAGAGATTTGCTTCATCTGGATGGAGTGTGTGTGTCACCTAGACTGCTATGTACATGGTTTAGTGGTTTAGCCTTCGTGGGGTTTAGTGAGTCTGCATGTTTGTGCATGTTGAAGTCTGTGGTTCATTCTCTGATTTTTCCAGCTCATTTGAAGAAGTTGCATAGACAGCAACGGAACTACCACATTCAAGGCCCAGAAAGGCAGTAAGGACATTGTTAAAATAGTCCATGTGACATCAGTGGTTCAACCTTAATTTTACAAAGCTACGAGAATACTTTTTGTGCGCAAAGAAAACAAAAATAACGACTTTATTCAGTCTTTGACGTGCGTTCATGAGAGTACCACAACGCATGCATGTGCATTCCTCTGCTTGCAAACAAGGTGCAGAGCATGCGGGTTCTACGACAGAAATCCTGCGTCAGCATCATCACACGTGTGTGTCGTGATGCTCTTGTGAACGCGCGTCGACTGACAGAAGAGAAGAAATCGTGGAATATAGACGTTTTTTTCATTAAAAATATCTTAATTGTCTTTCGAAGACGAACGAAGGTCTTACAGGTTTGGAATGACAAGGTGAGTAATTAATTACAGATTTTTCATTTTTGGGTGACCTATCCCTTTAACATTTAGACCGCCCAAAACAAAGATAAATTTAATAGCCAAAAATAATTAGCAAAATTCTAATGCATAATAATAATAATAATTGCATTTATTTCGTTAGTTATTTTCTCTGTGGTCATTCAGTTTTTGTTCATAATAAAGAGAACTAAAATCTCTGTAATCTGTTGGTCAGGACATTGTGTAATTTGTTCTTTTGCACACTTTAGCCAGTCACCTTCTCTAAACAAATCTGAATTTTATAATGCCATCTGTGCTTTAACTACTAAACTACTAAAGCACTCACTTCCAGTGAGCATAACATTTTGTAAGAATATTCTATAAACCATACTTAATTTTAGTTAAAAAAATAGTCATTTACTCAGCCTTTATGTCTTATATGGAACACAAAAGAAGATTTGGTTTTGGTTACCAATTACCATTTTATGGACAAAAAACATTGAAGTATTTTTCAAAATATCTTCTATGTTCACCATAAAATAGATGAGTAAATGATGACATGGTTGGGCGAACTATTCCTTTAAGACTTGTTTGAGTTGTGTATTTTGTAGGTGGCCATATGTAGAAAGTGTTGGATTCATAAATCTGATGGTGTAATTTGGCACATCTCAGATTACTGTGGTAATACTGGCGCGATTAGCTCGACAACCCAAAGCAGTGGTGTTGACAAGCGGAACAGTTCTCTGTAATTAGAGAGCGCTCAGACACGACTGTGACATCCAAACCTCTCCAGGCTCTCGCCTGGATCCCGAAGCCTGTCATCAGCGTCACACACCAACACGCGCACCCGCTCGTAAATGATGTCACACTCAAACGCTCAGCTGGCTGGCCAGACGAGCTCAGCATACTGAGTACAGTTACAAATGACTGTTTACATTATTGGTTTTATTGTTGGTTCTTGAAGCCTTCATAAAGCTCAGGTTTCTGGTCATCTTAAAAAGTGATGGATTACTCAAGTATTACTCAACCTTTGTCATTCCAAACCTAATGTTCAGAAGCGTAAAGCAAGTGAGAGGAATTTATTAATCTGTGAATATAAATCAAGTTTGTCGTCATATTCTCACTGTTGTGTTTTCTCTGAGCAGATTGCTTGATCCATCTGTCCGTTCCTTTGACGTAGGAC